CCCTCCCTCCCGGCCCGCCCCAATCCGGCTCGTCGCCGCTCGCCCTCCTTCGCCCACGCCCGCTGGCAGCCGGAGGAGCGCGGCGGAGCGAAGAGGGCCCCACTCTCAACGGCCTCCCATGGCAGCAGCCCAGGGCGGCCGCAGCCTGCCAGACACAGCGAGGGAGCGAGCGAGGGAGCGAGCGCGGGCCGCCGGGCGGGTGGGGGGCGGGGGCGGGGGCGGCGGGGGGAGGGGGGAAGGGGAAAGGGGGCCGGACTGATATGGTTTGGCTGTGTCCCCACCCAAATCTCATCTCAAATTGTAATCTCCATGTGTCTAAGGAGGGTCCTGGTGGAAGGTGATTGAATCATGGGGCAAACTTACCCCTTGCTGTTCTTGTGACAGTGAGTGAGTTCTCAAGAGATCTGGTGTGAAAGTGCATGACACTTCCCCCCGCCCCCCCACCCTGCTCTGCCATGGTAAGATGTGCTTGCATTCCCCCGCCCCCCCACCCTGCCCGGCGGCTCCGCGCTCGCTCCCTCGCTCGCTCCCTCGCTGTGTCTGGCAGGCTGCGGCCGCCGCTGGGCTGCTGCCATGGGGAGCCGTTGAGAGTGGGGCCCTCTTCGCTCCGCCGCGCTCCTCCGGCTGCCAGCGGGGGTGGGCGGGAGGGAGGGGCGGGGGGGAGCGGGCGACGGAGCCGGGATTGGGGGGCGGGGGGGCCGGGAGGGAGGGGGGCAAGAGCCGGAGGAAGCCCACCAAGTCCGGCGGCGGCGGCGGCGGCGGCCGGGAGGAGGAGGAGGAGGAGGCGGAGGACGCGGCGGCGGCGGGGACGCGGTGACTTAGGGCCGCTCCGTGTGAGTCCCGGCGCCGGCCCCTGGCCCCTGACCCGGCGCCCCCTCCGCGCCCCGGCACCCCGGCGGGCGGGGGGCGCCAGCTGTGCGGCCCCGGCCGGCTGGGCGGTGCGGGCGGAGGGCGGGCCGGGCCGGGGGCGCCCCCGCGAGTGGAGTTAGTTTGTGTGGTTGGAGCTGTTGGGGCGGCGGGGGGCGGCGCAGCTGCGGGAGGCCCGGCCGCGGGGACGGGCCGCTGCAGCTGCGGGGTCGGGCGGGGTGCGGGCTCCCGGCTCCGCGCCGCGCCCCCGCGGGCCGGTGCAGCTGCGGCGCGGGGCGGGCTCCCGGCCGGTGCAGCTGCGGTGGCGCCTCTCGGGTGCGGAGGGCGGCGGGCTGGGGGAGGGGGCTTGGGATCCGCCGCAGCTGCAGTGGCGCCCGGGACGGCCGCGGCTCCGGGGACCGGTGCAGCTGCAGTGGCGCCCGGGGGAGGGGGCCGGCAGGGGAGGGGGCCCTCCCGGGCTGGTGCAGTTGCCCGGAGGCCCCGGGGGCTCGCGCGTCGCGGCGTCGGGGAAGCGGTAGCAACCACCCTCCTCCCGCTGGCTGCTTCTTACGACTTTTCTTTTGTTGTTGCCGTGACCCGGCTCTGTTTTCTCCTCTGTTATTGAAGGTGTTTTCCTGCTGCACCGGCTCTACGCCCTCCACCTCCTTCCCTGTGGTTTTAACCTTCCTCTTTCCCCGTGTGTTTTATGCACGGCGAACTACGTAAAGATTTGCATTGCTTCCCCACTCGGCATCCCCGCCCCCACCTCTCTGAAAAACAAAACCCCAACCTCACAAAATCTCTATGGATCCGCGGTAGCGAGACGTGAAGGGGTTGATTTGTGGAGTGGGAGTCGCTGGCCCATTGCGGTGCTTGGGACTCATTAAACTGTCACTCACCCCCCACCCCACTGGGTAAATGGGGTGATTAATGTCTGATATACTGGAATGGGGCGAGGGCATTTATGGAGAATAGGTGGTGTGGCTGGAAAGAAATTGATCGCCCAAGGATGTCTCCTGGACTAAGCGTTCATAATTATGTCACTCACCGCGAAGTTGGAGAAAGTTAGGTTTGTGACTTTGGGAAAGCGAGAAGGACAGGAGAGTCGTCGGGTTTTGTTACTATTTAACTCTCCGCCACGGCTTTCTAATGGGAACGAAGTGGTTATCACCAGGGCTAGGACGCTGACGCCTCAGGCCCCAGTTCCTTTTCTACCCCTCGCCCTCTCAAGAGTCTGAGGAGATGTATTTGACATTCAGAGATGTCGCAGCACCCTGCCCGGCACCGGTCAGCCCAGCCCGGGTCGCGTTACAGTTTCATCAGCTTTTAGAAAAGACCCACAAACTCTGGCTGAAAAGTTCTCAAACTTACTAGACCTGGCTTCCCCCCACACAAAGATTTTCTTGTGATCATTAAACATTACAGAGTGACACCCCCCATACGCACAAAAAAGATTGTTAAGGGACACAGATCAAGGGGAAGGCAAGGTTCTGCTTTTTCTGAGCAGAAAGATCAGATATGCAGGTGCAGCATTCATTTTAAGTGACTGTAGCAGGTTGTATCAGTTTATTAATTGGTCTCGTTGAACTGAAGTACTTTCCAGGATTTCAGAAAGTGCAGTTTTAGCTTGTTGGTACTGAGAATTGAAATTTGCATTGACTGTGGCAGTGTAGGAAATTTTTCTGAGAAGGTAGTTGTAGATAAGTCATTAAATAAGAGTGAAATAATAAGGTGAACCAGTCCGAAGTAATGGTTCTGAAGAAGTCTGCCAACATTTGAGACATGTATACCATTATCTCAGCAGAAAAAAAAAAGTGCGGTAATAATGTTGAAATGGGACTGGAGATGTCAAATGGGTTGGTTTAAAAATATCCCTAAACTGCCTTAGAAACTAAACGTTGGAGTTAAATAAAAGTGAATCTGGATTTCCTGAATAGCACCGTGGCTTGAGTGTGCTGTCAGTATGTAAGCCAGTCCACCAACTTAAGACAGAAGTGTTGCTATTCCATAAATACAGTAGAACTCCATATGCTGAGTTTTTCAATTTCTTCTGTTAGAAAGTTTGGAAAAAAAGGAAGACTTTGAAGTATTTTGTTTATACTAACAGAAGAGAAAAGTTCTCCTAAGAAAAAGCTGGTGGCAGGAGTGTAGAGGAGTAGCATATGGCATTAAAAGGAGCACAGCTGGAGGTAGCATTTCCATCTGAACATGATGTCAGAGCAGCTGACAGCCTGCCATCCCTCAGCCTTTTATTCTAACACACAGACAGGGAGTTAGTGTGTGCGGATCTGTGGTGGAGAAGGTATCTCATTCCTCTCTAACATCATCTCCACTTTGCATCTGTCTCTCTTAGTCTGCTTTTTTTCCACCGATGTAACAGACCTGGAGCCAGCAGGACTCAGAGGAAAGGACTTAATCAGGTTTATGTGTCCTAAAGGTAGGAGTAGCAAGAGATTAGATTGAGCATATTTCTGTTTTGGTGTTTTGTTTATTTAATTTTAAAAATCACATTACTTTTCTAACCCAGTTTAGGAATAATATATGAAATTGAGTATTAAATGAACATCTTACTGGAGTTGAAAGTCTTGAGCTTGTTTAGTTTTAATTTTTTATCCCTTTTACTTGAGCGAGTAAATAACTTTAATACACAGAAATATGTCAAGTTTTGAAATGTTAAGAAAGGCTTTAAAATACTGCTTTTGGAAATCACGTTGGATTAAAATGCTTTTTTGTTGTTCACTGCTATTTAGATTTGACTGGGATGGTGGTGGTGGGGAAATACTAAACTGTCTGGAATCCAGCATTCAAACTTATATGAGAAGATTATTCTAGTTAAGAAGCTAGATTGTTGTGTAATTAATTCCACTGTGAAACTTTATTCTTCAAAACATTGAACAGCACTGCTGAAACATACAGCTGTAGTGCTTTTGAAACTGAAGGTTTTTAAGAAGAAGAAAAAAAAAAACTTTTGTCCCCAGGAGAATAGTTTGACTGGTTTCCTCACTTCTCTTTCAAATATATATTTAAGAGATCTTTTATTTCAGCATAACAATAATTATTTGCAGGAGTTTTTGTGTTAGCGACTAATTTAGAACTTGTAGATTTGAGCTGCCTGAATTGGCCAGACAGCTGTAATCGCACTCCTCTATTCTTAATCTCTTTATCTGGGCAGCAGCTGCCATATGGCCACAGTCAGCTGGATCAGATGTTTATAAGCTTCCTTCTTCGTCCCTCTCTGTCCTCTCAGCCTCCTAATTTGATCACAGCTACCTTGTGAGCTGCCCTCCAATCTTTATTTTTAGCCTTCTCAAGGATTAGGATTGATGTTAGCTGTGGGGCACTTAAAGTGATTGTATTGTAAATCTTAGTTTATTCTAGCAGTGGCATCTTGCAGAATGTATTTGGGGTTAGGATAAAGTTTTAGTCTGTCTTGGGCAAAGTGTAGAAGAAGAAGAAGAAGGGAAGTAATTTCTGAATATTAAATTAAGTGTATCTATTCCCAAAATGCACTTGCTGAGATGGGTGGTGTGGAGCCTTCTTGCTTCTGGTCACAGGAAAGGGGAAGTCGGGTCTTTCTTTTTCAGGAGTTTGCCCACTGCAGTTGAATTCTGACCCTTTGTACATCTTTGCCTCTCCCCTCCGTCCATTTCACTCTCTCTCATCAGAAAACCAGGGCAATGGTGAATATTTGCAAGAATAGAAGCTAGTGGGAAAACAAAACTATATCAAATTATATTGAAACAAAGTATTTTCTGTTGGCTGAGGTAAGGCAGAACCAGGGGGGGGAAAAAAAGTTTCTCTTTTTCTAAAAAGGCTTTTAAAAAAAAAAAGTTGAACCTGTAAAGCTTTTGAGTTTTATTTAAGCGTTATATGCCTTTATTTTTTAAAGTTAGAATTAATTTTAATAGGAAACTCATTTTGCCTTGCAATGGATCAAAGTTTAGATGAGAATTTTCAGAGTTAAATAAAGCCCCTCTGGTTCCTAATATTCTAAAAGTACAGTTTCTACGAAGAAATATAACAATGTTTTTCTCAGTTCATTTTGAAAAATCTTTGGATTTGTTCATAGTAAAGATGATCTTTTCCATCTGCTGGTGCAGCTCCTGATCTCGCACATGTGTGCTGTACCTGCAAATCTGAAGGCATTAACATCTGTTTTTATACACAGGGCTTTTGTTGTACCACTCTGACTTTAAAAGTAAGTTGTTTGCTAATTTCTGGACTAATTATGCAATTTCATTTTTTTTTCTTGAATCAGCCAAATGTGTGTGTGTGTTTAAACTGTGCTTTCTAAGTACAGTCAAGTAGCAAAAGTAATAAAAGGAAAAGGATGGTTGAACAAGTTTTCTTGTATGTTCCAGGATATGTTTGGGACTTTCTTTGTTTATTATATGAGTTGTTTCCTTTGAAATTAAAGCTATTTTGTAGGTTTTGTAGGACATAATTTGATAAGTAGAGTTAGTTAAATTTCTTCTGAAAGAGATCTAAATTCTTATTCTTAGTGAGAGACTGTAGTTAAAGGAAGGCTTTGAAAGCTTGGGTTCAGGGAAGATGGAGATGCGTCGGAGGCTGTCCGGCGGGGGTAAGGAGTTGAGAAAGTGCACGTTTTCCTTCTCGCGTTTAGGTCTCGTCCGTGTGATTTGGTAGTGCTGGGTCATAAGCCTGATTGAAATTCAGGGACATGTACCACGGCGGCCAAAGCGGAATTAATTTTTTTATATGGGGACTAGAGCACTGAAAAGTTGTTCCTGACCAGGCTCTAATGAGAAATTCCTCTCTCCCCAGGTTATGAAGACAGTATGGAGTTTCCAGACCATAGTAGACATTTGCTGCAGTGTCTGAGCGAGCAGAGACACCAGGGTTTTCTTTGTGACTGCACTGTTCTGGTGGGAGATGCCCAGTTCCGAGCGCACCGAGCTGTACTGGCTTCATGCAGCATGTATTTCCACCTCTTTTACAAGGACCAGCTGGACAAAAGAGACATTGTTCATCTGAACAGCGACATTGTTACAGCCCCCGCTTTCGCTCTCCTGCTTGAATTCATGTATGAAGGGAAACTCCAGTTCAAAGACTTGCCCATTGAAGACGTGCTAGCAGCTGCCAGTTATCTCCACATGTATGACATTGTCAAAGTCTGCAAAAAGAAGCTGAAAGAGAAAGCTACCACGGAGGCAGACAGCACCAAAAAGGAAGAAGATGCTTCAAGTTGTTCGGACAAAGTCGAGAGTCTCTCCGATGGCAGCAGCCACATGGCAGGCGATTTGCCCAGTGATGAAGATGAAGGAGAAGATGAAAAATTGAACATCCTGCCCAGCAAAAGGGACTTGGCGGCCGAGCCTGGGAACATGTGGATGCGATTGCCCTCAGACTCAGCAGGCATCCCCCAGGCTGGCGGAGAGGCAGAGCCACACGCCACAGCAGCTGGAAAAACAGTAGCCAGCCCCTGCAGCTCAACAGAGTCTTTGTCCCAGAGGTCTGTCACCTCCGTGAGGGATTCGGCAGATGTTGACTGTGTGCTGGACCTGTCTGTCAAGTCCAGCCTTTCAGGAGTTGAAAATCTGAACAGCTCTTATTTCTCTTCACAGGACGTGCTGAGAAGCAACCTGGTGCAGGTGAAGGTGGAGAAAGAGGCTTCCTGTGATGAGAGTGATGTTGG